CAAATTAAAAATGGTTTTCCTCTAGGATCAATATTGGGCCATTTCTTGTTCATTTTATACACATCTCAATTTCATAGGTCATTGTAATTTGCAACCGTGCATTGTTATGACGACGATACTCAGTTGTACATAAAATTCAACGAGAATTCAATTAACGAGGCCCTATGGCAAATCAATATCGATCTCGATATGTTATTATTCTTATCAACTATTGTAATAGATGGAACAGAACTTCCCGTGAAAGGAGTTATAAAAAACTTGGGCCTATATCTTGACAATAGTCTTCGTTTCAAAACACACATTTCGCAAACTCTGAAAAGGGGTTATGCAAATTTGAAAATGATATATTCTAACAGAGCATTTCTGAATGAAAAAGAGTAAAATTTTACTCTGCGATGCTTTCGTTTTTTCACATGCCAAACACACAGACGTGGTGTATGATCCAGGAATTTTAACGAGTGACAATTTTAGAAATCAAAAGGTCAAGAATGTACGGCATTAGGTTCTTTACGGGTACGAGGAAATGGAAACACATTTCCCATTTGTTCGGGGATGTGGGTTGATTGAATATGGAATCCAGGCGAACATTCATTCTGCAAAATTTTTTCAAAAAACTCCTTTAAAAAACATTTTTTCTTTTCGATAAAATATCCTTCAGAACTGACATACACCATCTTAACTTGAGATTCAGGACACATTTAACACAACATAAAACTTTCCTATTCTGCGGATCTTTCACTAACAATATTGCCTACTCATATAATCGAATATCAATTGAATATAAACCTCTGTCATTAGGAAGCTTCAAACAAAAGATAAAAATATATTGTCTTACAATAATTAGATCCAAGTAATCGAATCATGTCGAAATTGATCAATATCAATCAACCTTTCTCCAAGCTCAAAAAAATATATATTTTGTAGTTCAATTCCGCTGTTTGTACTCTTGCACTGTTCTTGATAGCATGCTGTTTTTTATCTTTTTCTTATGTTCTTACAGTTGGATGGAAGAGCAATCTCTGCGATGATTTATCATACGCAGATATTGAATCCTGCCATTTGTTTGGTTGTAATTGTGTGGAACCATCAATAAAAGCCATTATTGTTATTATCATCATCATTATTAATATCAAAGAGACCATTGTGAATCCTAGAGTGGAGCCTTCGAAGATGGCTTAAAGGAAGCATTCATTTAGAGATTATCTACTACAAATATATCTGTAAGGTTCTGAAGGTCCATATTGATTTCCTCTGCTGAAGTTTGCAAGTTGTTATAAGAAAAAAAAAACCGAGTATCATCAGCATCCTGGTGAATAAAACAAGTCTGAAATGTCCAGTGAGAATGATAGAGGTCCAAGAATCGAACCTTGAGGAACTCCATGAGTTACGAGAAATATATCTGAGTATTGATCATCTAAATATATGGTTTGGTTTCGATGACTGGGGTAGCTTTTCAAAAGTTCCACAAATCCATCGCTAATTCCATAATATGCCAGCTCATTGCACAACATATGATGATCAGTGGACATTAATAAATATTTTAATGGCTGCCTTAGAAGTGCTGTGAAGTATTCGGAAACTAGATTGTTATGATATGAAATTCGTTCATGAAGAGTTTGATTTAAGCCGTAAAATCAGCTCAAAAACATCAAACAATACTGGAAATTCAATAATAGGCCTTAAATAATACAGTTTGGCAAGGAAAAAACAGTGGCTTGTTTCCAGACTTATTGAACATGATTTTTTTCTGAAATGGTGTTGAAAATATGAGATAGTTGAATGATAAGATAGTTCCCAACGACTTATAGCATAACAAGTTAAATATAATCAAATCTAATGCAATCTGATTCTTTTTATATTATTCAGATATTGCCTGACTTGAAGAGGTGACACTTAGGTTTATCTCAGTTCCGGTATATGTCAAGAAGTCGGTTGATCTGTTTTAGATGACTGAACCGGCTGAAATTACTGAACTTTAAAACACGATATCAACTGTACCAATATATTCAGATGAGTTAGTTCAAACTAGAAATAATACCCGAAATGAAAATGAGAAACAATGTATTATTCAGAAATGCCAATTTTCGAAAGAATCAAGTCATTGGGATGCGAAATGCAAATTGAAAGTAATAATATCATTTATCATTTCTTCTAGTTTCATTCACCATTTTTATATCAGCGCCTAGAAACATAATAGTAGAGGTGATGATAACTTCTTTCGCAAAAACGCCATCTATGGACAACAAGACGAAACCTGAGCCCAGAAACAAAGCATTCAAGATCTAACATCCATATCTGAAATTCATAGATGGCCATAGCTGTCACCTTCGTACTGAGAATTGTCCTTCAAGGACAGTTGAGTTCAGCAATACATTCATGGTTCAGCATGGCATCACTGATGAGACTGTTGGCGAGTCGAAATTGCACTGGATTGCGATTGCTCTATAACCGATTGTCAGAATTAACATATTCAATTATTGTTAGAATATAAGAAATTTTATATTTATTTTCGATGCAAGTATACAGGGTATTCCATATTCGATGTTCTATCAGAAGTAGCTATAGAAAAAATATGTGAGTTTCAAATTTCGGTTACCTATGTAGGTGGATGTGATCTATCGTTTGAAAATATTTTCATCACTGCACTGTTGCCACATCTACATATAACAGACATCAACTCGTAAATTTCAAATGGAACACCCTATATATTATATCAGTTTTGAATTCTGCATCAAAATCCAAATTACTTTTGTTGAGCATGTTCTATACTTATCTCTCATCGTTATTAAAATATTAATTATATAGCAACATCAAACAGCATAATTCTAAGCACGAATTGAAGAACCCGGAACATCAATACAATACAAGGAACAGACAACTCACATACTTGACTCCTTTTATGAGAAAATCAAAAGGACAAAAAAGTCTGACATATTTGAGTCCCAAACTATACCAATGTCTTCCAGCTGAAATTCAAAATATTT